AAAAACACAAAAACAAGTAATCAAAGAGTGTGATTAGCACTGATTACTGTTGGAACATATTTACTGATAGGGGCTCGGTGGAAAATGAGCCTTGGGTGTATCCTTCTTCGGTATACTTTTCTGTGTGGTTCGCGCCTAACCCAAGATACTTGATTTTGTGCATTCCATGTCACGGCACGAGTTTGGGTAATAGGGGTAATCATAGGGAACACCCGCTTCTCAACAGTTACTTTGTTTTCTCAGCAACCGGAATACTGACTGGCCTCTTGTGCCATTCTCTGCTGGTGAGTACGGAGAACCCTGTGAAGTTCATTTTTATTCCCCTGTTCTGTTCTGTATTCTCCTGTCTCACTCCCCTTCTCTTTCTCCCTCCTCCCTCCCCCCTTGCAGAACAACTCAAGGCATATGAATGAGCATCATTAAAAGAACAGACAAAATATAAGGTGCGGGTGTGCTAAAAAGCCTGAAAAGCAAACAGGCGTGTGCACATTCCACACCAAAGCGCACAAACATGGTGGTCTTTGCACCTTTCTGGATACAACAATGAAACGGTGATTCTATCACAATATTACGATGATCAAAACATGTCAATCATGTCAAATATCGTAGAAAGAATATGGGAAGGTAATGCTTTTCAAGTTTGGATGTACTGACGTGGGCGGAAAAGGGGTTGTTGTGGTGACAGTGTTAAAGCACAAGCAACACAGAAAGACTAGCAAGTGGTGGTATTTTTGAATTGCAATTTGAAAGCGTGTCCCTGTGATGAAAAGTGGATGGATTTCACAGGTTGGTTGTTGTCTGACCTGCCTGCCTGTCAGTGTGGCAGGGAAGAGGAGCCACCAGGAGGTGAATGCGCTCGCCAACTCCTTCCGACGGCATATGTTCTTTCTCCAACTTGAGACTGACATCATGGCTCAGCTCCTGCAGGTAGCGACCCTGCAGGAAATGCCAAAGTGGTCTGTAGGCAAGTACCTCTATCCTTTTCTTTTTCCTTCACCTTTCATGGTGCACAATGGTATATTGAAGGATCCCTGGAAGCCGAAGGCCCTGGAGCCGTAAATCATGGAACCCTGTATCCATACTTATCTTGAAATTAGGATTTAGTCATGATATGAAACTTCAAGCTCCGCCCTCGGTTCGTGTGTTTTACTTAGTAGGACGCTTTGATCCGAAAGTGACTCCGATTCGCCAGAACAGGCTCAACTCTGTTTCAGGAGCATTAACCCCTTTTCTTTGGGCTTTTGAAGAATGAGAAAATTTGTTAGAATTTTATGAAAGAGTTTCGGGACAATGCCTTCAGCCACTCGGCCATACCTCCCAGGAAAAACGCGATTTGAACCCGCGACTTCTGGCGTGACAGACCAGCACTCTAACCAACCAAGCTATTTTCCCATCTGGGAAATAACGGACGTGAACCGCTGGCTCTCTCGGTGTAAACGAGGCCCTCTACCAATTGTGCTGATGACCCAAATCTGTTATTCCCAATCTAAAGCGCCCTCTTTCCATTCATAAACAAAACCAATAGTTCAAATCAATAAAAGACCATCATAGGCCGACAATCCTATTTTATTGAAAGAAACTTCCCAAGGAAATAAAAAAGTGACTTTGATCATCAAGTTTGATGTGGTCTGGTTATTTCTATTTGTATCTATTTATTGGTGGGGGGGTAATTAACACTTACTACCCCAAAATCCGGGGACGCGTGCCAAAGGGCTCGCAAGAGCCGGGTCCTCAACCGAAGGCACCGAAGGCATCGTTTGAGTTTCTATATAGATAGGCCGATGGCGCCCGTATCTATTAACTGAGTTAACTTAATGATAGTTCACTGTCTAACCTCTGCGAAACCTGTCCTTACCTGAAGACGTTGATATCGAAGAGACCTTGTGGCACCCAGCACTATGTGGGCACCTAAGATAAATATTGGGAGTGGTTAAGGTAGCCAGTCAAAGGCTACTAAAACACCAGACACAAAAACTACCCATGCTAATGATAAAGGCAAGAAGACTTTCCAGCCAAGTCTCATTAATTGATCATAACGATATCGTGGAAATGTTGCACGAACCCATGTAAAACAAAGACCCTTAATATATGTGATCCTAAGTGCAACGAAGTTGCCTCTTGTTTATGAAGTATTGATCAATTACATGGTGGTCTACCAGAAGCTGAAGCTGTGTTAGTTGCAGGCTATAACATAGAATATTCTTCCATGGGGTTTGCTCTTTTTTTTCTTAGGGGAGTATGCTAATATGATATTAATGAGTAGTTTATGTACTCTTTTATTTTTGGGTGGTTGGTTGCCCGTCATGAATATGGCTATTCTTTATTGGATTCCGGGCTCAATTTGGTTCAGTATAAAGTCCGAAGGCTTTCTGTTTTTATATATTTGGGTTCATGTGCAAGGAAAATGAGCGATAGCAAACTTCAGAAACCAAGCAGCATCATAGACATGAGACCAGATAGTCGTGACCTCAAACCAAAAGTAGAATTGCATCACGAGTCCCGCCAAATAAGAGCACAGCAAAAGCTCATAAGTGGCAATGTTCGAATAGTCTCATCATCATCAACAAAGAACCAATGTCGACATCCTATCTGGCGCTCTGCGCCCAGACTACAAATGGCAGATCCTATCTAGCCTATCTACTATGCCGCTGGTGACGTCAACAGCTCCCCAAAGTACGAGCAGATCTCGACCAATGCCGTTCGCCTCAAGCACCAGGTATGTCTCTCGTATCACTCACAACCTCGATCCCCCACTCACAGATGCCACGTGCCCAACGACGACCATGCGCCCCATCCAGCACACAGCAGCGCAGCTCGGCTATGGCTGCCTGCTCCTTCCAGCTCGCCCGTGGGCGTGTGAGAGCTGGCCAGCGTATAGCGCAGCATGCAGCCAGTGACCGAATGCCGAATGCCTGGGCAGGCACTTTCCTAAATGGAAGTGGCCTGCCTGCTTGCCTGCAGCCTGCTGTGCTGGCCCCTGCCCAGAAGCTTCCGGTAGGCCCAGAGAGGCTAAGCCCCAGTCCAAACGAATCAGGCCCTGGGCCTGTGGTAGTTGCCCGTGTCCAACTGCCTGCGGCCTGTGTTCGGTCCATGTTGCGAATCTGGCCCAGGGCCTGCCTCGGTTACATTCGAAAGAGGCAGCCTGGGCCTAGGCGCTCTCAACCAACTGGCGCTGCACAACTGCCTGAATTTACCCAGCTGTGTGGTGAACCCCAAAAATAGGCCTGTAGGCCCTGGGTCGAGCCTGCCTTCACTTAGGGCGGCCGACTGTACAGGAAATAGGGCCCAGTAGGGCAGATCGAGGCCTTGAGCCTCGCATTCCCGCCTCCATACTTCGCTAGTCCTCTAAGAAGTTCATTCAATCTGGCGCTGTCCTTTCTGCAGCAACTTCTCCTAGTGGGTGACAACCTGCGGTGCGGTTTGCATCAGTTCCTCCCGTGTGAACCATCTATCCTTCTTTGGATCAGTGTGATGTCTGAACCGAACTCCGTACTGCAGCTTCGGCTTCGGAGGACATCCCCTGTCTGTCGGTCTTGGAACCAGCATTTCCCTGCGGTCCACGATGTCGTCGATGTCGACCTCTCCGTCCATGGTTGGGGGCAGCATTGAGCGACGAGTGGGAAACTGATCAGTTTCTTCAAACGGTGCAATCTTAGAGGCGTGAAAAAAGGGTAGGCACGAAGGTGTCCAGGGATCCGATCCGAATGACATAAGAGGGTCTGTCTGGTTCATTCCCAACTACATCCAGAACCTCCCATAGCCCAAAGTACTGTGGCATGAGCTTACGGGAGATCCCGTGCTCCTGTCCCAGTTCAGAAGCCTTGACCCAGACCCTGTCCCCTACCTGGAACATAGATGGGCGGCGGTGCTTGTTCTCAGATTCGATCATCGCCGCCTGTGCTTTGTGCATGTGTTCTACCGTCTGCTGCATATGGTTCTCATATCTATAGGCAAATTCCAAAGTGTCGGGAGCAGCAGTGGGCTGGTCTTAGGTAGCAGAAAGTCAAGAGGGAGTCTAGGTTTGAACGTTAGTAGTAGGCTGTTAGGACTTACTCCTGTGGCACTATGAACTGCGTTGTTGTACAGGCTGGCGATGAGAGCAAGCTTCTCATCTCAGTCCACTTGATTAGGCTTGATGTAGTGCCTCAACAAGTGTTGAACAGCGCGGTTCATCTGTTCTGCCTGTCCATTTGCCTCCGGATGGTTTTCAGATGTCATCTGCAGCTGCGTTCCTTGTTTGGCAGCTGCGGCCTTCCACAGATCACTGGTGAATCGGACATCCCTGTCACTGATTATAGACTTCGGCAGGCCAAAGTCTCTAACCCAGTTTTCCTTAAATAGCCTGATAACGTATTCGGTCTTTGCTGTTTCTGGCATAACTACTAATCTAGCATACTGTCTAAATCTATCCACGATAACGTAGATGTACCTCATGCCACTCTTGCTGGTGACTAGCATATCCATGAAGTCCATGGACAAGCTTTCACCAGGCCTTTCTGGAATGGGAAGGGGCTTGAGAAACCCAAAAGGAGCCTGTGTCCGAGGCTTGTCACGTTGACAAACTTGACAAGTCTCGACGTGCAGTTTGGCATCTTTCATGATCGTGGGCCACCAGAATCACTGCAACAGGTTGGCTGCGGTCTTCTTGAAGCCAAAATGCTCGGTGGTATCATGACATTCGCCTAAAAATAAACTACGCAAAGACTCTCTATTAGGAACACACAAACGCGTATTCCCGGCCTTCTCAAGGAACAGCAGGCCGTTGACCAACACAAACTCGTCGGCAGTTGCTTTGTCTTTCGCCTTGAGTCTACGTATGATTTTGGCCATAAACGGATCCTCGCGATAGGCTTCCACCAAGCATTGAGTGACATCGTCCGCAAGCCCAAATTCAGTGATCAGCGCACCGAGAAAGTCTGGCCTACGCGACAACGCATCAGCAACCTTGTTGTACTCCCCCTTAATGTACTAGGGTTCGAAGTCATATTGCTCAATGACTTCGATCCAACGCTTCAGAGCGTCGGAGAGTACCGGTTGAGTCTTCATTCATCTCAGGGTCTGATGATCAGTCCTGACATAGAAAAAGCGACCTAGGAGGTAGTGCCTCCAATGGGTTAGCGCTTTGTAGATCGCATAGAGCTCCTTCTCATCGGTGGACTTAGCCAACTTTTGAGAGGGCATCTTTTTGGACATGTACTCTACCGGCCTCAACTTCTTCCCCTCCTGCTGCACAAGTACGGCACCAATGCCGTACTGGTTGGCATCTGCAGACACAACGAAAGGTTTGTCAGGGTCAGGAAGTTTCAAGACCTCATGGTGTGTCAACGCACGCTTCAGATGTCTGAAAGCAGCCTCATACCTGTCCGTCCACTCCCATGGGGTGTCAAGGCGTGTCAGGTCTGTCAAAGGGGCGGCCACTATACTATAATTCTGAACAAAGTTGCGGTAGTAGCCTGTCATCCCTAAGAAGGACCTCATCTCAGTCACAGACTGAGGACGCGGCCAGTCACGAATGCTGGCCACCTTCGCGTCATCGAGCTTCAATCCCTCCGCGGAAATCTCATGACCCAGGTACAAGATGCGGGTGCAGCCAAACTCACACTTCTCCCGATTGATCTTGAACTGGTGTTGTCTGAGGAGGCTAAGGACTTTATCTAAGTGCGCTACATGCTCCTCAACAGTCCTACTAAAGATAAGTATGTCACTGAGGTACACGATGACAAACTTGTCCAAGTAGTCATGAAATATTCGGTTCATTGCGTGCTGAAAGGTGCCAGGAGCATTGCAAAGGCCGAAAGGCATCACCACAAACTCGTACAGACCGTACCTGGTCTGAAATGCAGTTTTGTGTTGATCCTCGGGTCGGATTGCAATCTGATGGTACCCGGACTTCAAATCTATCTTATTGGAGTACCGACACCCTTGCACTCGGTCCAACAAGTCATCGATGCGCGGTAGGGGCTCGACGTTCTTCACTATGATGGGATTGAGGCCCCTATAGTCAATGCACATCCTCAAGGTCCCCCCCTTCTTTGGTACGAATAGTACAGGAGATCCGTAAGGGGAAACACTAGGCCGGATCCAACCCTTCTCTATGAGATCCTTGAGTTGCCGGCGAAGCTCATCGAGCTCACCTGGAGACATCCAATAGATCCTACCCTTCGGAATGCTAGACCCTGGGATAATCTCTATCGCATGGACGACCTCGCTCTCAACAACCCCATTCGGCTCTTTGAATAGATCAGGGTACCTTGCAGCGACTCCCTCTATCTCCGGAGGCGTTTTCACCGGCTCACCCTCTGCAGAGACGTAAACTAAGTACATACTCTCCTCCGAATTTTGCTTATAATAATTATAGAACACGGCCGCACACATGCATCCGTAGGACTCGATCATACTACTAGCCTTGAACTTACGTAATTTGGCGGTCCCTCCACCGGGCAAAGTGTGCTTGACCACTTTTCGGTCCCAATCAAACTGGGGTTGTGCAACCGAGAGGTAGTACATACCTAACAAGATATCCAAAGGGAGATCATGGCTGACTAGGAACGAGACTCGATGTCTCAGTTCCCCTCCCGTGTATGGAAAAAGACACTCAATATCTTTAAGGTAGTCATTGATTACCATGCGCTGTTTGTTGGCACAGGTCGACTCCACAGGTCGACTCAGGCGCTGCACTTGCCCCTCTAAGCGCAGCCTCTCAATGCACGCGCGACCAATAAAGTTCCGCGTCGAGCAAGTGTTATAATAGGCCCCGGCCTTACGGCCGCCGATGACTACCTCGCCGACGAACAGCTCACCCTTAGGGGCTTTGGTCATGGCCGTCCAAGAAGTTAGCGGGTCCGATCTGGACCACTCCTCCTCTAGCTCCTCTAAGGACTCAAACACTTTCAGCGAACAGAGGATCGCTGGGTCCAAATGTGTTTGCGGGACGACGATGGAGTCAGTAGCTTGGGCCATCTCTCGAGATGGTGGGGGTGTGTCCACCACCTCGACCCTAGCAGGAACAACTACTATTCCTACTGGCCCGACGTGTTTCCCGGAGCAGTGCCAAAACTGCTGGCCACATTGCTACCTACGGGAGCGGAGGATCCCAACGCCTGCCCCATCATAGGCGGGATCTTCTCAATCACCTTCTTGTTGCGGCACTTGAATTGATTGTGGCCATATTGACCACAATGAATACAGGCCTGCCTGGTATACGGGTCTCTTCACACGTCCTCTGTGAGAACTGCTTTCTCCCATGGAGGAGCATTGGGGTCAACTTGACTCCTAGACCAGGAACCTCCACGACGTCTACCGGTCCCCTTACCTTTCTGGAAAGAGGCAGCGACTGTTCCACCCCCTGAAACTTCTACGTTGCCCGCCTCTGAACCCGCTCCTGCCTGGAAGTCGTCTTCCAACTCGATGGTTGAACCATCATTGTCGACGAACATTATGCGGCCCTTCGCCTTCCAGTTGGGAGGCAGTGACTTCTTCCTACCATCCATCGTGGGTGTATGTCCATACCCTATCTTTGCCTCTAGGTCTAGGGCCTTCTTGCTGAACGACGGAAAGTTGTGCATATTGATGTTGGCCTCACCTGCCAACTGATTCCTGAGAGGTAAGGAGAACATCTCAGGTATGCAGTGAGTAAGACCTGGCGGTCGTAGCGTACTCCAGGAACACATATCAGATGCTCTACTGCGTCTGTGGCTTCCCTTACTGACTTGAACTGCCTGTTGTTCAAAGTCAGGATCGCGTCAGTGGCCTTTTGAGCCTCCTGAAGATCATGCCACCTTTCTTCCACCAGCTTAAGGAAGTTATCCAGTTTCAGGTTAACTGCCCAAGCGCGGAAGTCATGACCGTATCCCTATAGCTGCACTAAACCACTCAACCATCTTGCTGCACTCCCCTCTAAATAGGAGGCAGCCACAAACACTTCCTCGTGCGGCAAGGTCAACTTACACTTCACGTAGACCGGCACTGACCTCAACCATGTGTCAAGGTCTTCGCCCCTCTTATCCCCTGAGAAGGGTTTAGGGGAGGCGATGGCCGTCTTCGGAACCCACTGTCCTTGTCCCGGTACCTGTCCCACTCCAGGCTGTGGACCTTGGGGACCAGGCTGCTGCACTAGTTGCTGCTGGGGCTGTGCAGGCTGCGAGACAGCAGGCTGCCCGGTTACGGCAACCTGCAACGGAGGTTGGGAATACACTAACTGAACAGGAACATGCACACTAGGACCTGCTGAGAACCCTCTTGTTAGCGGCATACCTAGGGAAGCGGCTTGGACCAATGCTGGAGAGACATATGGGGATACGCTAGTCACCGGTGGGACAAAGGGAGGATGTACAACAGGCCAGGCACCGGGCCCGGACGACGATGGAGCTGCCTGTGCTCGCCCGACCAATACAGCCAGACTTTGTTGGATGTCCTGTAAGAGAGTTGTCTGGTGGTCCTGCATTTTTACTACATCTAGCAGGACTGCACGCAGGGTCCTCACATCATCATCCATGCACGTCAGATCCATCCCCTCTAACTCACTAACGTCCGCTTGTCTCCGCTGTAACGTAACTCTTCTTCTAATCATCTTCTCTTTCTCTGCCTTTATCTCCCCTAAAGCCTTCTGTAGTTGTGCTTCGCGAAGTGTTGCTTGTTGTATGGCGACCTCTTCAGGGGTCAACACTATTGGCTGGCTTGCCATAACACCAGTGGACTGACTCAGGGTCTGCGCAATCGTTGACCCTACGGTCCCTGAACTGCTGGCCTGGGAACTCTGCTGCGCAGCAGTTGCCATGGCTGTTGAAGCAACGGTGTTGCTTGCGAACGCCCTACTGGCCTCGGCTGCCCTAGCTCTCCTCTGCTGCTGCTGTGTCTCCCTAAGCTGGCAGAACAGTAACATGTCACCCTCGGGTCCTAATGCCACGTGGGCTATTGGACGTCTAGCTGATTGCAAGATCCCGTCGTCCTCATTAGTGGTCTCCCTGTCGCTCATAAGCTACAAAACTGTACACAGTCTGCACTAGGTCACACTCGATGCCTACCGCAGCGTAATGCACAAACTGATTTAAATCAATCGGTGGCTGAGTCAGTGTATATACATTTGGGTCCAACAGGTAAGTTCAGATTCCTACAAACGAAATTGTCTTGACTTTGACTAGTTCACAAACAAAAAGCACAATGAACAGAAAACAACTTTAACTATGTTGTTTGTCAGATGTTAATGGTTGTACATCTAACTAATCAAAATAAAAACAGAATCATTTGATTGGCTGTTTGCAGAGTGGAATCTTTCCCAAACTTATCACCTAGAATCTACCCCTCCCTCAGTTCTTCCTCAATGTCTCTTGTCGTCAACGTCCCTGAGCAATCTGGAACATCGTGCATGTCGAAAGACTCTAAAGGTGTGCGCACGGCCCACCCGTGTGCCCGGGATTCCTGCTGAGCTGGCCAACCTTGCACAATATTTATCCTCGCGTGCAGCGAGCCTTGCACTGACCGATTGGCTGATGAGGAGGCGTTTTTATGAACGGCCCCTGAAGTCCTCAAGAATTATTTAACGTCGCATATAGGATGACGATCACAGCCAATGGAAGGTACCCTCCGGTGCTTATTTATAGACGCCCGATACTCGTCTTTCTTGTAGGGCTGGCCTGCCCCTCAGAACCCATCTATAGCGCAGTGAGCAGACAAAGGACAAAGCAGCAAAGCATGCGTGCTCTACTCCCAGTGGGTTGGCATGGTGACCGTGACCCAGTGCTTCGTCCAGGGCCCTTCAGATAGCACCGCCCTCTCCTTCCAGATGCTTCGACTCCTCACGTGAAAGGACTCTCAAGACAGAACACACATCCTCACGGTAAGAAGTGTCGAAGAGGGTAGATAAGGTTAGGTGCAACGTACCTCAAAATAGCTGCCCCCAACCACAGATATTCTCACCAGATGACCTGATGCTGATTGTGATGATGGTGAGATGACCAATCGCTGCTTCGGCACAACCAGCATTAGTCAGCCGCTCCACCTCAGCAATCACACATCAGATAGTTCTCATCACACTGCGAACACCCAATATACACCACGTAGCCTTCCTGGCGATACCCCTCACCTCCTGGGTCGCCCTTCTTGCCTTCGCCCTCCTCACTACACACCTCTCACGTCCGCTCACCCAGCAGACCGCGTGCATGTACCGCATAGGCAGAAGACGAGCGCCATATTAGCGCACCGTACCACAGCTCCGATACCAAATTGCAAGGAAAATGAGCGATAGCGAACTTCAGAAACCAAGCAGCATCATAGACATGAGACCAGATAGTCGTGACCTCGAACCAAAAGCAGAATTGCATCACGATTCCCACCAAATAAGAGCACAGCAAAAGCTCATAAGTGACAATGTTCGGATAATCTCATCATCATCAACAAAGAACCAATGTCGACATCCTATCTGGCGCTCTGCGCCCAGACTACAAATGGCAGATCCTATCTAGCCTATCTACTATNCATCAACAAAGAACCAATGTCGACATCCTATCTGGCGCTCTGCGCCCAGACTACAAATGGCAGATCCTATCTAGCCTATCTACTATGCCGCTGGTTCCCCGAAGTACGAGCAGATCTCGGCCAATGCCATTCGCCTCAAGCACCAGGTATGTCTCTAGTATCACTCACAACCTCGATCCCTCACTCATAGATGCCACGTGCACCCAAGGACCACCATGCACCCCATCGAGCATACAGCAGCGCAGCTCGGCTATGGCTGCCTGCTCCTTCCAGCTCGCCCATGAGCGAGTGAGAGCTGGCCAGCGTATAGCGCAGCAGCGCTTGCGCAGCATGCAGGCAGTGCCCGAATGCCGAATGCATGGGCAGTCACTTTCCTAAATGGAAGTGGCCTGCCTGCTTGCATGCAGCCTGCTGCGCTGGGCCCCTGCCCAGAAGCTTCCGGTAGGCCCAGAGAGGCTAAGCCCCAGTCCCAACGAATCAGGCCCTGGGCCTGTGGTGGTTGCCCGTGTCCAACTGCCTGTGGCCTGTGTTCGGTCCATGTTGCGAATCTGGCCCAGGGCCTGCCTCGGTCACATTCGAAAGAGGCAGCCTGGGCCTGGGCGCTCTCAACCAATTGGCGCTCCGCAACTGCCTGAATTTACCCAGTTGCGTGGTGAACCCCAAAAATAGGCCTGTAGGCCCTGGGTCGAGCCTGCCTTCACTTAGGGCGGCCGACTGTACAGAAAATAGGGCCCAGTAGGGCAGATCGAGGCCTTGAGCCTCGCACATGCAGCATTTCCACAATATCGTTATGATCAATTATCGAGACTTGGCTGGAAAGTCTTCTTGCCTTTATCATTAGCATGAAGGCGCGCGAAGGTAGGCTTAAGCTAGCGCTTTGCGCAGCTGTAGAGCATATGGTGTTACGATCGTGGCCAATTTCAAAGTATACATTCATTAGAAAGTACAATGCCAACAAAGAGAACTGCATACCAAAGATAGCTTGGCACTACATCACAAGGAAACCAGCCAAAGGAGGTCTTGGTATCATAGACCCCAAACAGGAAACCAAAGCCTTACAAGTTAAATGGATAATCAAAGTATTGACTAAACCTGGTACGGCATGGAATAAACTGGCTTCGGATAGCATCAGGGGCCTAGCACCTATATAGCCACACCTGCAAACATGTCCGGCCTGTTCTGGGTCATGACCAAGGAGTGGAGTCCAAACACAGGGCGCAGAAATCAACGGAGAGGAACCGGTCCAAGCGAAGCCAGGCCCCCTACACCATATTGGACTGCATTGCTACGGATATGGCGGGAAGTCATGCCAAAGAATGTGGGTAAACCCAAATCCAAGGACGAGGTACTGAGGCAACTTCTGTTTGGTAATCTCTGGGTGAGAGATGAAAGTGATCACCAATTATCCCTTAAACCTAGAGGAAGGAAATGGCTATCTTGGATCAAACATGGTGTGTGGAAAGTGAGCCATCTGTGGAATGAGGAGAAAAAGGACTGGATGACAGAACAGGAACTTGCCCTCAAGCTCAAAGGTTGCCACCGACGAGACGAGAATCTACAATCCATTATCAACTGCATCCCTGAAGGATGGAAGGAAGGAAGTCTCAACCTGGAAATCGGGTGAATGGGGAGTGACGGTACAGGATTTAACCCCATCAAGGGCCTATCAATTCTCCCATAAACAGCAAGGATCGGATACCATGGCGGTGTTTACTTCTTTCCCAATTACCCCCTCTACGCAAGGTCTTCCATCTATCTTGAACAAGAGGTGGAAAGAACAGTCCTAAGCCCTTTCGTACTCAGAAAAGTAAGAGTGTTGAGATCTTGGCCAAAAACAATTTTCAGAACAAATACGGCGATTCAAGACTTGGAATTTGATCCAGCAGAGTGGGCTTGGACACCAGATAGAAGTAGAAGCCTCAAAACGAATGTCCCCATTCAGGAATACACAGTAAAACTGGGTTACAACTTACTCGTCAAAACAAAGGATCCTGATCCAACGATCAAGAACAGATGGCAGAAGTTAATAGGTCAAGACGCTGATCTGAAACGGTATTTCCCAATTCGAAGTAGCTGATGTAGGTACCAGGGCTCGATCCCTAGTTCCCCAACTTACCTGTGTACAATATCTGTGTAGTTGTAGGACTTGAACCTGTGACCTGTAGGATAGCCACTGCAGGTAGGTCATCGTAGGCACCAGAGAAGTAAGGGATTCGAACCACAGACCTATAGGGCAAAAATCGAAGTAGGGTCCAGAGGTCTTCTAGAAGGTCGACCAGTGGGCAAGTGGTGTAGCTAAGTCTACTTGCGCCGTAGGACTGTGACATCTGTCGAAGTCAACTGGTAGGACCTCAGTAGGACTGCAGTGAGTCGTAGGTGAGTCGTAGTGCAGTCGAGGAAGTGTCTAGAAAGTCCCTGTCCGGTCCAGCAAGTACCATATGGGGCTAAGGGTACCGGGGCCAGGGAATACAGGCCAAATCGGAGCTGCACAGAAGTATAAAACAAGAGGCTGCGTTCAGCCATTCATTCATTCCTGCGGAAGCTCTGCGGAAGCGCTGTTYGGGCGTCTTGTGCAAGGGAGGTCTGCAGATGGCCTGAAGATGAAGTGGGCAGAAGTTAGTAATAGGCTGGTTAGCTGTTAGTGGCCATGCGCCATAGCCATAGACAGTTAGTGAGTGTGTATGTGTGTGTGCAGTGGTTGGCGTGCATGGTATCCAGGGTGATCCGGAGTCRAGTTGCGTGTGAACTCTGAGTCGAACGTGTAAGTGTGGGCGCCCAGCGCCATAGTCAACTGAAGTAAATTTGGATTTGAGTTGAGTTGCAAGCTACCATATCTCCGAGTTTGAGTTGGGTGCACAG